AGTCTATCATTGACGCTCTCTGCAGACTACCTGCACAACGCTTCCGAGTCTGACGCCGCACACAAGCGCCGCGTATGGGAAGGCGATATGTCCTGGAACGCAATGCAGAGCAACAGCGAAGTTTTGGCCCACTTCGAAGGTGCCATAACCTCTCCTCCCCCGCTGAGGGGCGCCGAGCCTGTCCCTCGTGGCCATGGCGCGTGTTCACGGGTGCAGCACAGTGGACCACAACCTCAACCCCAGTATCAGCAAGGGCCTCCGCCCCACTTCCCCGCTCCTGGCCCACATCACCCTGGCCCTGTTCCACCCCCGCCCCCGCCCCCGCCTCCTCCCCACTACCCCCGTCATGGGGATGGACCGCACTTCCCGCACCTCCCTCCTCCGCCTCCGCCGCAAATCCACTACCACTACCACTTTTCGCCCCCTCCTCCCCATCACGGGCATGAAGGACCTCATCACCCCCCTCCTTTCCCTCCCCACTTCCCCGGCGATGGCCCTCATTTCCCAGAGCATGAGGGTCCTCACTTCCCTCCCCATGGGCCTCACTTCCCTCCCCATGGGCCTCATTTCCCTCCGCCGCCGCCTCCCGGACACCCGCCGTTCGAGCATGGTCCTCATCCTCCTCAACACGCCCCGCTCCCGCCCCCGCCCCCTGGAGATGGTCCTCATGGTCCGCCACACGAATGGCCCGGACACAAGGTCGTCTACAGCCGGAACATCACCATCCCGACCCTCTTCGCGGACCACCCCGTGAACGTGCACGTCGCCCAGCACGAGATCACCTTCGGCCACGGGCCGTTCGCCCGCACCTTCTACCAGACGGTGACGCACGCGCACGGCGTGCCGGTCGTCCTTTCCGACATCCCGACGCGCAACGGTGTGCTGCACATCGTCGACAGGCTATTGAACCCGCTCCGAAAGCCGGGACACGTTCCCCCGGGCGCGCCTCCGGGCGACGAGCACCCCCCGCTCTTCGAGTCCGCCGACTCGGAGGATCCGGAGGCAGAGTGGGAGGGCTGGGAGGATTGGCTGATCCGTTGGGCCGACGAGGAGTGAGCTGCAGCTACTATGATTACTCACCGCAGTCCCCCCACTTGAAACACACTTTCTCTGTCGTACTCACGAACGCTCAGTCTCGGAAACCGCCGATTATCCTCACATTCACAAAACACCACACCGTTAACAGAAGTGCCTTATGCTTGTAACTCGTACATCGAATGATTGAAAGCCTTTCTTGGCAATGTAACCCAACAGTCAGCGTGCCGAAAGTACTGGATGGGCTGTAGGTCATGATGCGAGAGCCTCAGGCTCAGTAGTCGAGTTGTCCGTGGTAGGGTGTCCTCCAGGAGAGGCTTCACGGCGTTTTTGACCTTTCCCCGTCATGTAGCGATGACCACGACTCCGCACATGCGTCTCCCAAGCGCCTCCATCGACCATGACTGGTTGCTCGGGGTCGACCGTGCAGACCTCGCATACCCTCCGCTGATTCGCAGTGAGCACTGCAACGGGACTGCGTAGCCAATCAGTCAGACAACGTCCAGCACACGAGCCAAGATGGGACATACTCCGTGGGCTTCTCGCGCACCGAGAGCATCTCCGACGCTCTTGGAGAAAGCGTCAATGGGTCTGGCAGCGGCTTATCTTCCAAGAAGCCTTTGCGGGGGATATATCAGACGAAGGACTCGCGAGAGAGGCGCAAAACACACCCGTTGTTATACGCTCGGCGACGTCCATGACGTTCGTTTTCCACGCATCTCCCAGCTCTAGACACTGCCGGTCACTGATCGTTGCTCGGTCGTGAGCTGCGCGACTTACCTGTCGCATCCAGCAGGTATGTTGGGACGATCGGGCGTCCATCTTCGGCAAGGCTGACGGCGTTTGCGATGTTCACAGCGGGCAGTAGTTTGTTGCGGAGCCATGTCACCTGCCGCTTTGCATATCGCCTTGTGCCGAGCTTCATCTGTTCCACTGCTTGCCTGAACGCCGCCTCGGAAGGTTCGGGTGCGCCGAGATAGTCATGAAATTCCTTGTACCCTGTATAGATTCTCATGAGACGGCAGTCCTATGGCCTCCAAACGGACGGCTTACCGATAGCCTGGTATATGCCAAGCGTGTAGTCCATGCGCCGCCCCTCTGTAGACTGCGGCTGCGAGTCGGATTCGTTCGCTGCGGAAGCGATGCGCCTCAAGGTCCGAATCTCGTCTAAGAGACCTTGCTACTGTGCCGTTATGCTTGAGTTTATGCTCGTCACTGCCTTCTAACAGATGAATCGTACCTCAATCATTTGGTCGACTCGGGCGTCAAGCCGGGGTTTGAGCACCTTCGGTTCCGCATACAACCAGAAACATAGTGTGCGGTACCTGTCGTCGAGGACTTCGGTTAACCTGCCCCTCGGAAGAGCACGTCAGAGAATACCTCGGCTTTGGCACTATACTGGATTGGTCTTTAATGACCTCGCTCGCAAGTCGACGGTTCTCCTGAATCACGCGGAGGGACGTGAGGACTCTCCGCGCATCCCTCCAGTGCCACCGCTGTGCCACCAGCGGGTCGAGTGCGGACAACAGGTCGTGTAATTTGTGTGCGGTCGAGGGGTCGTCGTCAGCTATGGGCGCCTGGTCGGGCAGGTTATTGAAAAGATCGAGCAACTCGGGCGGAAGCGCAGCGAGGGCACTGGCGAAGGCCTCCGAAGGCGGAGGAGGACTGTCGGCTGGCTGCGCATCGCTCTCAGACTTGTCGAGAGATGCCATACGTTCGGGGAAGATGAGGTGTTGGATCCAATACGAAGTCCCGCCGACCACGATGGGAATTTGGTTCCGACTATGGGTTTCGTCGATCTACGGCCAATGAATAACTTAGCAGTACCTTCCACAGTGGGGTGCACGCATACCGCGTGTATCGCATCTTTAATCCATTCTGGACCAGTCAACTGTTCGCCTGGTTGCTTGTAGTCCATCAGGAGATGCTCAACGCCGCAACGCTCTTCGACCGGGACTTTGTTGGTAATGACGTCCATGCCAGTATATACTTGCATCGAATCGGCGTTGATGATCCTCGCCCCGCGGTATGGGTGCTTGTCACTTCCCTTGGACAAGGAAAGGGCCAACTCGATGCTGAGCTTAGACTTCCCCACTCCTGTGGTCCCGCATATTACCAGCACCGGCTTAGACATCGTTACGAAAGGTCTGCGGAACAGCCTGCTTATCGGACGCGGCTATAGGGCAAAGTCGGACTGTCAGTATTTTCAATGCGTTGAGGATGTTCAGTACTAGTGCACTTACCCTGAAGTTCATCCGCTCGTAAGTACTCCGAACTTCGGTACTCGGACAGTCCCTGGGTGGTAGCAGGCGGCAATTGCCGCCCATCCCCTCCATTGAGAATCATGGCGCTTACTCAAGATGACGTCGGGAACCTTTCGTTGGGATTGCGCTTCTACAACGGTACTGTAGTATAGCAAACGGGTACGTTCATGTACTAGATTCGCATCACTAAACTGTAGTCATCATTATACCCCGAAACATGTTTCGTAGGAACACATCACGAGGACTTGCTCACGAGCGGAAGGCTTCAGACATAGCAGCTACAATCGAAAGACCATAGAATACAAGGGCACAGTGCGACGATACGACAGTCACCCGGTAGTGTCCATACGATCGGGAGAGATGCTGCGGCTACGAGAGCGGAACCGCGGCGGCGAGCCATTTGCAGACCCATCAAGCCGGTCGGGAGAGATACTGCGGCTGCGCGAGCGATACACGGACCCTGAACGAGAACGGCTACGGCTGCGAGAGACGTATCGAGAACCCGGCGACGAGGGCGCCTTGCTCCCTCGGCTGAGACTCCGGCCCCTGCTCGAACTTCTTGAGCGAGAGCGGCTCCGTGCACTCGCTGGGCTCCGCGAACGTCCGCTCCTGTCACTGCTCCGGCTCCTACTACGGCTTTTCTCGCTGCCATGTTCGCTTTTGCCCTCCATGGCATCGAGTAGCCGGCTCTTTCTTGGGCCTATCTCTTCCAGGTCTTCGAGCACGTCGCGTTTTGTGATGCGGGGTAGGATGAGGTCACAGACACGCTCCTCCGTAAGAAGCTGGTCCACGAATTCGTCCATGTGTATAATGGAGTACCCGCCTGCGTGATCATGAGCTGATGAAAACGTAGAGAACCGACAAGGCGATACTCACCCATGCCTCGATATCGTAGTTTTCGATAATCCTTTAGCAAAGGTTCCAATACCTCGTAGACGTCTACGGGTCTGAACGTCATGCGGATATACATCGCCGCCAACGCGCGTAGATATCTGAAATTCTCCTTCAGTTTCTCACCCAACGGACTGCCAATGTTGATACGTACTTGAACTCATCCGCCTGTAAGTACTCTAGTAGAATCTCCTTTTCCGGCTGGATTTGCAAGAGCTTAAGGAGCAGGCATAGGAACTCCGTGGGCTTCTGGTTGCCATACACGCCGCCAATAGCCTTCAGCTCAATGGCCTTGTCAATGATTGTCTCCGCTGTACATCAGGGCGAAGTCAGCATGCAGACCTCGAGCGCGGGGTGTAGCAAACGTACCAGTCAGCGCGAAACAATGCTCCTTCCAATAGGCCGACTCATAGATGCGGTTCCGGATGACAGATTCGACTAGATACTGCCCATTCAGCTATGAATGTCTTCCGTCCACACGGTGGCGAGGTGCGTACCTGAGGGTTCTGGCCGTGGATGGCGGTCGCGCCGCGTACGGTGGTGTTGGCCATGTCGAACGCGTTGTTTACCGCTGTTTGTCGGATCGCGCTCACCCTTAGCTTGGCCCAAATTGGCAGGCGGTCAGGAGTACTACTACTCAACGCCGCGCGGCGAATCACATTCGATGATGATTGATACTATCGTACGCACGTCCATAATCAGAGGGAAGAGCCTCACAAGAGCTCTATTTAGTTGTTGAGCTGTGGTACGGACACGGTAACCTAGCTAGGGAACGTCGGTGGGTCCCGGACTGCGGGGAATCACGAGTATGCTCTCGTCGTCTAATGGCTATGATATCAGATTCCTATAGCCCGTTAAGATGATTCTTGGCTATGATCTGGGGGTTCCGGGTTCGAATCCCGGCGGGAGTAGTAACAGGAGATGACTGATTTTTTGGTGCGGCCGACAAAGTACAAGGTCAACCATCGCCCATGCTCCTAAGAATCAAGACCTCAGGCATCATCGATCGTCTGCCATTGGTGTCACAACAAAATGCGGAGACTACGATGTAGCATAGGATGCACTCTGTTCTACCAGCACAATCTGACCAACGCGTTCCGCCCTCAAAGCAGATTATTGGCCCGGATATTGTGCCGGATGCGCTTCTGGATGGGCTTAGCGATGCCCTCGGGAGCGTCGTAGTCCACTGCGAAGACGCTGACTGCCGTCTCGCACTCCGCGCTGGTGGGGGTCTCGCCTACAACGTCGCTCCTCAGCGTCTACACACATTTTCGCAAGGACAAGTGTAAACATACCGGGATCCTCGCGGATGCCGTTGATGTTCGCGTTGATACCGCGCGCCTCGCTGAACGAATTGTATGTCAGCTGAAGCATAACCTGGTAGACCATTTCCGGGAGCTCTTACAGGTCTTTGGAGACAGGGAAGCCAGTCGTAGGGTCCAGAGTGATTTGGTTCACGGTCGCACCACCTGTGAGTCGCGTGAAAGTGAATGGGGGCTGGACGCAACGGCGGTCAGCTTGGTACCAACATCCGCGCTGCACACTACGGTACGTACAGCCGTGCAGTTGTTGCCAGGACCGAAAGTGGGGATGTTGACACTGCAATACTTGATCAGAGGATGCCTGCTGAAAGCATTGTCTGATACCAACGTCAAGCCGATTCCTAGCGGCAAGAGGCGCTCCTGTGTTACATTCACTTTGTCGGACAGCGCACGTACAAGGTCCGCCACAACCTAGGCGTTTCGTGAGCATCTGACTCAGTGGAACCGGGGGGCGAACTATACCTTGGCGGCCAAGTTGGCGGGGTCATTGGCATCGCCCGTGTTAGTGGTGAAAGAGCGATGGGTGGAGTTGCCTGCGGAGAAGGCGATGGCAGGAATCTATAGTATGAACATCATTCAGCGTCGTCTGCCATACGTACAATAATAGCACTCACTCCGCGTTCCACGGCGGTATAGGTAGCGCCGATTGTGCCGCTCAAGGTGTACAAGAAAGGCCCGTTGTTCTGGCCCTCGTTCGGACCCGACACGACCAAGTCGATGGGGGCACTCCCGAAGTGCTTGGGAGCGACGATGTCAATACCGAACACGACCTAGGTCACCCGACAGGATCTTATCAGATGGACAGCTTGCGAGGGGAAGGGGAGAACTATTACCGTCGCCGAAGGAGTGCCATTGAAGTAAACTTGGACGTCCTTGTCAGCACCTGACCATAGCATGTACGTGGACGGCAGCAAAAGGCTCACATAGATCCGCATTTTGGGAGTCTTGGCCGAAGAACGGTGCACCGACTGGGATGGAGGCGAACTCTCCTCCAGGCGCAGTGATATTAGTCGTAGGGAGGACGAAGGTGCCACCCTTGCCAGACTGTTGAACGGCCGGTCTACGCAATGGAGCGCTGAGCCAACGTTCGCGTCAAATAGTCGTGTGACGTACCCAACTAGCAGAACATTGTGTCCATCCGCTTTCAGAGCGGTATACGTAGCCCTAAGCGATAGTGTGGGTCACTCTGCTGGATGAGCACGCACCCTACGGTGTCCACATACCGTATGTTGGCGGAAGCCCAGCTGTCATCGTTTGTGAGCAGCACGTTGAGGGCAACGGAGCACGACAAGAGGGGGAACAGGGTTGCAATGCTCTTCCACATGATGGCACTCTAGCGGACGAGGAGGCGATGGGCGAGGATGAACCGCTGCGACGCCAAAGCTTTCGGACTGTAGGTCTGCTTTATACGTCGGTGGGCCGTCCAGAACTCGTAGCGACTTTCCCAGCCACATATTACTTGATGGAGGCGGCAGCGGGCGCCCTATGGAAAGCCAACGAATGAGTGCCATGGATGGCACGCACGTTTGTGCATCCTGAAGAGCGTGCTCGTCGGACGCCGATAGCCGGGCTGGTATTGCGAATGACGCGAGCAATGGCAGACGACCGTGCTGATGGGAGAGCACGGCTGCGTCCTAGCTGAGCATCATCGTGACAGCCCTGGGATGGTAACGGAAGCCGAAGTCAGTCTCGCGTTCATACTCTGCGTCCAGTGAGGTAGGACTGCAACCTGAGCCCCCCGGGCGTCCTAGAGTTCAGAGGCTGCATTACGAGAACTTATCGTAATGGCTGAAAGCAAAAATAACTCGCAGGTTGAGACAGCTTTGGGTATTCGTGGTATTCGTACGGTGGCAACGTCGACTATGAAGTGAGCTTAAGGTGAGCCGTGCAGACATGTGCGATTTGCTCCTAGCGCCACAGGAACATCATAGATATGAGCGGCCCATGCAGTGTCAAGACGTCTCAGCTTGGAATGTGTGCCGACCGATGTCATGTCCATCCCTTGTGGCCGCAGGTAGGAACCTAGGATTGATGACCCTAGGCCAGTGGCCGTTTGTGCAAAGTTCACGTCGCAATCCCTTCGGTGGATATGTCGGACTGCCCGTCCGTCCCTGAAAAGTACTGGGTATATTCTCTATTTGAGGATCGGATGCGAGTGCGCATGCTTATTGCTGCGCCAGCGTACGCGGTGGAAGTCGATTGCCAAGCGTCGTTCAAGTTGTGTTGACGCCCATCGAGCAGGAGGAGAAACTTGGGAAGCACGTGTCTCTCATGACTTCTCCATGCAGGTCGCAGCCTGAGCTACGTTCGTTCGAAGGCCCCGTTTCTCTCTGCCTTTGCACATACAGCTCACCCGACGCGAATGTCCGAGGTTATAATATTGACATCTGCTCAATCTTGCTCAACATACATATGGCGTGAATTCCCGTACGACGGTTCCTGACACGAACCGACCTGATTCCCCAGACCTTGTCCTCAACCATTTGAACCAAGTGCGTACTCTGCGATATCCTACCTCGTATGTCGCTCACAGAAACTGCACCAGTTCACATTGATTGCCCATGTGCATCTGATCTGAGCGAAGCCGCCACAGCCGGGACCTCTATGATAGCCAGACGACTATCGCTGCTCAACATAGAGTGTCGCGTCTGCTGACATGTTCATTCACCATTGTGCGCATCGACATGGAGAAACCGGTTGCATCTGTGGCCGAAAGAAACATCTTCTCATACGGTGGGATCGCAGGCACGCTTGTCGTCAGAGCTGCAAGTCACAATGCCTCGTAGTGAATGATCAGGTTCGTCTTGTGAACAAATACTGAGTACCGGAGGTCGGAGGTGACTTACCGCGTTGTATCCAGCACACAGAGCCGCCCTATCGTGGAATTGGAGAAGCGCAGACGGCGCATAACCTGGAGCTGTACCGCTCCTGTGTTGCCGGGTTCTATAGGAATCCGAGTCGTGTCCAGTAAAGCAGTGGACGCCGTTGATTTGGCCAATGTATATGTTTCACACACAGGAAGAGTCCGACTTGGGGGTCGGTATGTGTACTGCAGGTACATAAATTACATATGGCTACGGTAGTGGTGCATAGCTGGAGGAAAATGGGCGGACGGACTTTGTCGCTTACATCCATCATCGCCACCAACCGTGTTGCAGCCAGTCCCTTGAAGTTGTACTTCTCGGACAGAAGTGCGGCTATCTCTTCGCGCATCTCGCTCTTTCATCTTGTCCCTCGTGTCTGTGCTCAGCCTGCGCGGGGATGGCGTCCGTGGAGAGTGTGCCTGCATACCTGCATCAGGGAGTCTCAGTCTCGCAACCGCCCCACCTGGAGGGCGACCCGTCGTTGGCTACAGAGATCCTACCAGGACCACCACCTCTCGGTTCTATTCAGCAGGCTGGTCTTCCCAGGAAGGACCACAAAAAAGCAACTATCGCGTACTCATATCTGCCCGCTTCCGATCCCGGAACGACTTATTCGAGCCATTTTGCAAGTGCTCTCCCTGCTGCGTCTACCGACATGGACGGGGCTCGGCGGAAGCGTGCCCGCTTGGACAAAGGGTGCGTCCTGAACAATTTTCATGTCTGTATAGGCGTGCTCACCCAAGACTTGCACATAATCACCCACACCCCGAACCCTTGCACCTCTATTCTCCTGGCACCCGTGCGCATTCTCTCCCGTCCACGTCAGCAGTGGCGAGCGGAATAGGTCTCAACGTGCATCGGCACGCAACCTCTCAATCGCAGGCCCGTTGTCAGATCCAATCGCGGCGCCAGAAGTGGCGGCCTCGTCATCGCAACTTGCTCCGGACTACGACCCTCTGTCTTTGCCTCTGGACTCCGACGACGCGATAATGTCTCGAGCGACAACTGCCCATGCCGAGGATTCTCCTCCGGAATCCGCGCCGTCCGCGAAGCGCGCTCGGGGTCGCTCAACGAAGGAGAATGGAAAGGGGAAGGAACGGGAACGGGATGCTGGGGTCAAGGTGAAGGAGGAGCCCAGCATGGTGTCGCTGGGTAACGAAGTCGTCCCCTCGTTGGTGAGTGTCGAAGTGCCCCCTGCTCTCACGCGTTCCCAACTGCCATATAGTCCAACGAAGACCACTGCTCCGCATGTCGCTCTTTTGGCTCGCTGGTCTACTGCGACGGCTGTCCCAGAGCCTTTCATCTCTGGTGTCTCGATCCCCCGATGGAATCAGCGGACCTCCCTGAGGGCGAACGGTGGTTCTGCCCGGCTTGCGCCCATGAACAGGTGAGAGATCACTTGTCATCATCCGTATCGTGGTGATTTAGTGAGGCCGGATAGCGACCGCCACCCAAGCCGCCTGCCTCACTCAAGTTCATGGGCCCTCTGCTTCACGAGTTGAACTCGAAGATACCCTCAGAGTACCAATTGCCGCAGGATATCCGGACTTTTTTCAAGGATGGTGCGTCAGCCCTCATTGGATACCCTTTTCACCCCTCTCAACACGCATATAGTGGGCAGCAGTGCCAGAGGCACATACCTGGACACGTCCGAAGTCAAACAGGCCCGCCTAAAGTGAGCGATGACCATCGTACCCCCGATGGGCCTTTTCTGATGCTCTCTCT